ATGGTCCGGGGTTCGATCCCCGGCCGGCGCACTCCTTTACCTCACTCAGCCAGAAATAATGCTGGTAAAGAGGAAAGGTTTGGCATGAGGCTATCAACTTCATCCTGTAAAATTAAACACTGCTACAGAAACTTCAAGCCACTAGCTTGAAGCCCTATGTTCCACTGGGAACGTGAAGGAAAAATTATTACTTATTATTATTTTGTAAAATTGATGAAATGTCCATTATGTAACCTTGATATATATATCTGCTCAAAAGTTGCATGTTGATTTGCCACTCACCCTCTTTGTTTTGCTTGTCTCCGTTTAATAAAACTGCCCCACAAACCACCTTTCCCTTATTTACTGATATTTTTCGCATTCTACCATGTTTCCCACCATGTTCACTCTTTTTGTAATTCATATTCTATGCATCTTAAGTTGCGTTTCTATGGTTATTTGCATTTTACAGATTATTCATGTATAATTGAAAATGTCTCTAATTAAAGCAAGAAATGACACTGGTTTGTGCAAAACACGATGGTACTTTCATCATTTATTTTCTTGGCTTCTCATCAACTGCTTACGGTCTAAAAGAAATCATTATTAAGTTGATATACACACAAACAGTTCTAACATACTTACCCTTGAAAGATTTCAAGTTTAAACAAGAAACCAATACATGCATACAGTGGTAATAATAACAATAATAATAATAATCATACAGAATGCAAATTTTCAGTGTTACGTAATCAATTGAAATAAAAGCGGTGAAGACATTCAAGTATCAACCAGGGTAACTGAAAGACTGAGAACCCTTTCTTTCTGAACACATATATAAATCGGGTTTCCGGTGCTTGATGGAGATGTGGATGCTTTGTCAACACCTGAAAGATTGTAGTCCCCGGTAGTCAATTCATAGAAAGTCGTTATTGTGCAAACAGCTAGCTATAAACCAGTACTGGTCAAAACTCTGTTGTAAAGGATTTGAAGATTATTTGTTATCCTCCTCTGATTTAACTATTGGTAATAATATGATTGTTATTGATCGATTACAGTCGAGTGTTTATTTAGTCATAATAAGCGATTTGTTAGAATATGATAGTGAAGATTTGCAGTTCAGGTGGATAATTTTGATGTGTATGAAGGATTTAATAATGAGCTGACATCAGTTAGAGAACCACTGGAAAACCTGGGAGTACTGGACAGCTGTTTCGTCCTAGTTTGGGACTCCTCATCAGTATGCACCCACCGGGGTTCGAACCCAGGACCTTCTGGTTACAAGGCGAGCTCGTAGACTATTGAGCCACTGGGACCCGATCCAAATCCCTACAAACCAACACTTGAAAATTTTGATGTGGTTGTGTTCTCTGAGCTAGCTGGATAGTTAATTTGCCAACCTTTCATTGCCCCCCCCCTACTAGGCGACATCTTCAGCGCATACTTCAATTCTAATTGAAGTGAGCTTTTAGATTTCTCCACGAGTTTATTAATTACCTCTTCCACATCTCTGGTATTTGCATTGAGTCACTTCTATTGCATGAGTTGTGTTGAGTGTAGACTCAATGAACCAGGAAGGATTCAGTAATCAATCTGTTTCTCCACCTACACAGATTACTTCTTAGAATTTCAATCCTCTCCCATCCTATTGTGCGGTTTTGTGTTAATGCATGTAGTGCAATTGCTGAGCTTTTTTCTGAAATTACTCATCTTCTCAGGGTTTCCTACTTATATCTGTTCTAAGGAGTCACAAGAATCTGTTCCACGCACAAATTAGAGGAAGAATTTCTGATTCGATGATATTAGATGATTGGAGGAAATTGGCCACAGAAAGCCTTGAGCCTAGGTCCCGTGCTAGTTGGCATTCATCAGCTAGGCGTATCTGCAACCTTGAAGGAACTTATGTCTCCTCTGAGATTCGAACCCCCGCTTCTAGTCTTTTGTTTTTGGTGTAGACTGAATTCTACCAGTCAGGTTTGCAATATGGTCACAATTTTAAGTAGCTCACTATCACGGTGAATGTTGATTCGATAGCATAAGATGGTTGCAGGCAATTGGCCATAAGAAGCCTTGGCTGCACCTAGGTTTCGTGCTAGTTGGCACTCACCAGTCAGCAAGGCTACCTAGAATGATGGCCACATTGTCAACCTGACTGACTGGTAGAATTCAGTCTGCAACAAACATCAACAACTAGACACATCACACTAGTTACTAGTATGTGTGTCCAATCAAACAGAATTTCTGATTCTTAAAAACAGATGTTGAAAAACAACAGTGTTACCCTTAAAGGTTCATTAACAAGTACAAAAGGTGTAAAGGTTCAAGTAGCAATTAAATCACATTGGGAAAAATGGCCCATCTTCATTCATTCAACTCTATTTTAAAGGTGATAATATTCGAAGAATAATCATTAGAAGATTGATTGAGTGCATCAGTAGCCAGAATCTATTCTGCAGCTAAGTTGGTCCTCGTGTGATGCAATCAAAAGTCGACTGACAGACTTTTTATGTGTTAACTCTGTGTATATAAATTTACATGTATCTGTTGGAGCAGTTACATTAGGAGAACAGTGAAAAAGGGACATCTTCAATTTTCTGGACATGTATCAAAAGTGCACGTCTGAAGGGAATAAATTTTTTCAGTAATACAATTATTGCCAGACACCTCGCCGACATGGGTGATGAGGTGGACATTGGAAAACTCCTTAAAAGTTCTCAAGAGACATAAAAGCTCAATTCTCTCAAGTTAACCGAAGCAGTCTCCATGATGCCCCTGAAACCCAACTTATGTATGTGTTCAGAAACAAAGGCTTATCAGTCTTCCCTTACCCTGGTTGATAACGGGATTTCCTCATCTTCTCGGTTTCATTTGATTACGTAACTCTAAAAATTAGCATTCTGTATTATTATTATTATTTAGATAAAGCAATAAGAAGACGTAATTTGTCTGAATCGTGTAATGTGCTTATTTGTGCAACACATTTCGAACAATCTGATCACACGCTGACTTGTCATAGGAATATATGTGTGAAATTATTAAGGAGTTAAGAGGTGAGAAAATAGACCATTTAGTTCAAGTTAAAAGGACATATTGAAGGCCACAATAACAATGAAGACCACTAAACCAAATAGCGAAGGTAATATTACACGTTCTATAGAAAGGTTTTAAAAACCTGTTAACATCAATTTTATGTCCTGTTTCTATAATGTGTTTCGCAATAGAAGAGCTAGGTCTCCCGTTCTCAACATTAATGGGTTCTGAAGATTACATTTGTTTTTGGAGCCATTTAGGAATATGCTCGCTCCTAAGAAAGACGTGTATATCTATCTGCCCTATATAGGGAGCATCATAGCAGCTTGATAACTAGACAAAGACTGAACGCTGCTGTGGTTAAAAAGACGTTTTATGCAGTTAATATCATAGTAGTAGAGAATATTAAGCGAATATATCTGTCTAAGCCCTCTGAACATACGAAAAATGATGTCACATCCCACTGTATTTACCAATTGGAATGTACGTGTGGACATACATACCTAGGGAGGACTCATCGATCTATGCAAGTAAGCGATGACTTCAGAGCATATTCCTGAATGGCTCCAGAAGTAAATAGAATCCCAGAAACCCATTAATGCTAAGAATAGACGAAACGTATTGCGAAATATATCATAACGACAGGACATAAAATTGATGTTAACACATCTTTGAAGCCTATCTGTAAAACGTGTTTGGGGCGTTTCCTACAATAAGTAGAACGTTAGGAAGTTTAAACCACCCAGACAATTCGTCATCACACTAAAACCATGTTCCTCGGTAAATTTTGTTTTGATACCATAGCAGATGTACTATTACCTCTGCTATTTGGTTTAGTGGTCTTCATTGTTATTTTGACCTTCAATATGTCCTCTTTACTTGACCCAAGTCCGTGTGTGGATTAGATTGTTCGAAATGTGTTGCGTAAATTCAACATTACACGATTCAGATAAATTACATCTGATTGCTTTGTCTAAATTCATAAAGGGAACTTTTATTGTTATTATTATTATTGTTCCCTTGGGTTCCTGGTGGAATATAGCGCTTCAACTGCACGTCTCCATTTGCCACTTCTGTCTTCTGCTGTACTTTTCACCTCCATCCATGTTAGTTCATACTGTTCCAACTCCTCCTCCTCTTCACACGATCTCCTCCATGTCACCCTTGCACTGACGTCCCACTCGCCGCTTCCCTTTCGGCATGGTTCCACTCGAGCGATGGCCTGACGCGCGAGCGATGTCACCCAGCGCGATGCCTCCTCAACCACGAGTGTCCAATCCATTGATCTCCACTTTCTCCTGCATATTTGTTGTTGGGCGATTGGTTCTTGTTTTGTTTGTTTGTTCCCAGTCAGAGTTTCTTGTTGGTGATTCTTTCCGGCACGACCCGGCCATCTGATCTTCAGTATAGATCCAGCGAACACAGTTGTTGGTTTATAAAGGTAACGTCTGCAACAGGCTGTTGGAAATATTCTTTGTGACCCGCCCGCCCGCCAAGTTTCTCATCCGATCCGTATAGAAGAGCTGACTGACTTGACGTTGTTTGTATTGAAAATCCGACTGAATTTTGTTGTTGATTCTGGCTGGCTGAGTGATGAAGATTTCCAGATTGGTTTCAGTTGGTTGATGAATGTGTAGTTGAGACAATGCTCATAAAGGGAACTGTCCAGTACTCCCAGGTTTTCCAATGGTTCTCTAACTAATGTCAGCTCATGATGAAATCCTGAAAGGGAACTAATTGTTTTAAATTATTTTTGTTGTTACCGTAGTTGCATACACTGTTTTTCTTTTGTTCAAACGTGAGAACTCTCTGTGGGTAAGTAAGTATGTTAAAATTCTTTCTATGCATCAACCTAATAATAATGACTTCGTTAGGCTGTACATTAGACTGTGTTGTTCGTGATTTATTCAAATTTACAAGGAAAGGGCTAATCGATCAATGTATGAACATGTTTTATTTTTGTTTGTTTTCGTTCTGTCTCGTTTTATTAGATCATCCTATACATCCACCTGAAAAAACCGGTGATCCATTCGAAATCGACTATTGGCCTGAACCGTTGAATGTGAAACTTGAATTCCACAAAGGGATTATGCATGTTATACGTAACCGTGAAACGGTTAATGGTAATGGTGGTTGTGGTGGCGGCGGTGTTTCAGAGAGTACTGACAAGGCGAATGGTGAAGTTCATCAGACAAATAACGATCACGGCGATGATGATAATGATGACGATGGTTTACCAGTATTCAATGTGCCCTGTTTACAAACCTTTTTCTCTGATTTTGATACCATACGTACATTTGTAGCCGATGGTCCATTGAAATCATTTTGTTATCGTCGACTCACCTATTTAGCTTCGAAGTTTCAATTGCATTCTCTGCTAAATGAAGCTCGGGAATCACTTGAACAGAAACGTGTGTCACACAGAGATTTCTATAATATTCGTAAGGTGAGTTACCTTTTTTTAATCTAATATTAATGTTTGAACTTTTGGCTATTAAGTCACTTGTCAGGCTTAGGATCTAAATCCCATATTAGTTTGTTTATTAGATGTATCACACAGTGATGAAACAGTATTATTTACTGAATGGCACAATTTCAAACAAAATTTTGTTACTGTTCATAATCATTTCATCAATTATAATCACACGATTGACGAATTAATTTCTGACCACGAACTTGAACTTCGAGCAAAAGTGCCACTTGAGGACATAATGCATGGAGTGCAACTAGCTATGCCTGACTTCCATAGTATTTAAATCCCCAAAGGGAAAATATACAAACAAACTGAGGGAGTTGTCATGGGATCACAAATATCCTCGGTTGCTATAGCAGGTATATTCATGGGTAGGTGGGAAAAAAATAGCGATTGACATGTTCATCCCCACCTCAAAAAGTATGTTAGAGGTATGTAAATGACACATTCACTGTACTTACAACACAGGATGTAGATAGATTTTTCGAAAACATTAACTCAAAAGGTGGTAGCAATTCTATTCACTTATGAATTGGAAAGTTAGGAAGGGCGAAGCTTCCAATGTTAGATTGCAGTGTAAAAGGGAAAGAGCATGGAAAGTGAAGCACACTAGTGTTTACAGGTAATCCACACATTCAAACAGATAATTGCATTTCCGATCATCCCACCCAATCTATGTCAGTAAAAAGAGGATTGGTGAAATGTTCAAGTGACAGAGCACAAAAACTTAGTAGTACAAAGGAAAATCTAAGACAGAAAGTGATACACATATAAAAGAAGCCTTGAAACTTTATAATTACCTGAATAAATTATTCAGGAAAAATGTGAGGAAATGTAGAAATGAAATAAACAATGATAGTAGTGATAGTGATAATAATAATAATAATAATAATAGTGATAATATATTATTGACGATATGCTTGTCAAATATGCACAAGATAATGACATCACCAACAATAAGGAATCTAAATCACCAGTAGTAATTCCATACAAAGAAGGAACCTCCGAAACCACATTACGCAGAATTCTTAAAAGGCAGGTATAAAAGTGGCTGGCATTCACACCATCCAGAAACTCAATTAGAAATAAGATTTGCCGGTTAATGGATCACTCCTGTGAAGCCTTTAAAACAAAACAATTTAGTTAAACTAATACGCCGTCGGTAATGATTGTCAGATCAAACACAGATGAAACTAGTAGATCAGGGGCAGTCAGACTATCCAAACATAAAAACCTAGCAAAATCTTTATTGGACGACCCGAATAAGATAAGAAATCTAAAGAATAGTTCAGCTATAGCACTCACTACATGCAGTCACACAACCATACAATAGGCTGCATGGGATTAGATGACAGTTTTAAAATCTAATGTAGCAGTGTGGTGACAGCAGGCTGCTAGCCAATTGGTAGACATTAATTTACGTCAATGTCTAGGTCACTAATATTGGTCGTGAGAAAATATGAACAAGGCTGATTCAGCAACCAATCACAGCAGACTTAACGTGGGCAAATAAGATTCACAGATATCTGGATTAACTTTCCGAGAAAATTAGAAACAACCAATCAGAAGACTGTGTTTGTCTTCTTGAATAAGCTATAATAATGTACATGAAATATATATACAAATACGTGCTGATTTCCGTAATAAAACGATCTGTTGCCGGCCCTTGTCTTCTGTTGTTACAGCAGCCAGTGTTGAGGAAGAGATTGGTAATGAAATCTTTGTTTATCGAATTAACTGCAAACACGTGTAATAGGAATGATTGAACACCTGTCCACCCAGATATCTGGAAAATTCTACTACCCCAACGACGACAAATAGGAGAGGGCACGGAAAACTATAAAACTGAAGTTTCAAAGTCGTGTGATTACAATTGATAGAATGATTATGAACAATAATGAATTGTGCTCTAAACTTTGTCATCCTGCGCGTAATACTGCTTCAGTGAATGTGTGATACATCTAATAAATATATATATATATATATATGAAGACAGTTGCAGCGAAGAAAATTTTCTTTTCGACGAAGTCATCATCTAGGCTGTACATTCGTGTATTTATATATTAAGTGGATGGGAAAGTTCCAGAATAATATCCGGTCAAGGGTCAAATTAATAAAAATTAAAATTGGGAATTAGAATGCCATAATAAACATAATGGACAATTCATCAACTTTCAAAGCTTCGTGCCCCTGAGCAGAAAGAGGAACCTGATATACGCTCTTTCCTCGAGGATTCGGAAGATATGCAGCGAGGAAGTGGTTGAAGAAGAACTGCGTAATCTTCGAAAAACCCTGATGGAAAACGGTTTCCCGCCCAGGTTCATAGAGAAGAATCTCAAACCTAAGAAGACTTCTGAACAAGTCCAATCCGTCCCAAAGAAAATGCTTCTGCTTAATCTAGAATTCAAAGGTGATATTGAAGCAGAAATCCTTCGCAGACGCCTCTCAAAATCGCTGAGGAAAACATACTTCGCCGCTAGCCTACGAATGACGTTTTCCTGCAAGAAACTGTTCAACCAGAACGCGAAAGACAAGCTGTCGCATTGGGCCACCTCAACGTGCATATACCAGTTTGCTTGCTCTTGTGGAGCTGAGTACGTTGGCCGTACCATGCGCCGACTTGAAAAACGCGCTCGTGAACACTATCCAGCCTGGCTAGTAAAAGGAGAATGAAAACGTGTGTATACAGTTCAGTGACAGAACATCTGGTCAGTTCAGGAGATTCAGTACCTTTCGAAAAATCCTTCAAAGTAATATACAAGATTCGATCAAACCTATCAAAGGGAATGAAATCAAGACATCTGGGCATAGCCGAGGCACTAGCTATCCAAAAGCTCAAACCCACGTTTTGTATCCAAAAGAAATACGTCCAACCCCTGTCCCTGCCGTGGCCATCATAAACAGGTAATATTTTAGTAATGACCATCCCATCGCTTTTCTTATCTAAACTTCCTGTTTATTCATGTTAGTTTAAGTTTTTCTTAATCCCTGTTTACACTACCATATTTTCGTACCCGAACTTCGTGTTTATTTTGTCATTTTACTATTTCTACATATTTAATTCCTGATTGCATAAACAATTATTCATCACATTAGTGCTTGTCCAAACATCCTGTTTATTTTGTTATTTCTACATTTCTAACCCCGAATTGCACAATCAATGTCAATCTTCTCAGTAATTACGATGCTACTTTTTGATTTTCATTTGTCCCCCTGTTTATTATGGCATTCTAATTCCTAATTTTAATTTTATTAATTTGACCCTTGACCGGATATTATTCTGGAACTTTCCCATCCACTTAATATATAAGTACTTGAATGTACAGCCTACCTAGATGATGACTTCATCGAAAAGAAAATTTTCTTCGCTGCAATTGTCTTCTTAATAACTCCTATGACCCAATGTGTATATTCCGTGATATATATATATATATAATTCAGGTGGACTATATCATGGTCTTCTGTTGTGAATATCAAGTGTGTCTGTGTGTACAGAACACCTTTTTGTCTTGTCCTCTTTTTTTTGGTCTGACTAGGTTGACACACATTTACACGCCTCATCCTGTATGAATCAAAAGCATTTATTACGTTTTATCAAGAAAACGATACGCACCAAAGCAAATGTACACGTGTGTGAAGATCCGAAAACGAAAAAGCCTATCACATTGAATGAAGTAAGTTATTATTATAATTATTATTATTACTATTTCCTTTCTCTATTACTAATATTATATGCATAAAGGTATATATATACTACTGATTGATTGAATTAAGTAGTTTCCAGTCAGCCAACCGGATTGAAGTGATCTAAGCACCCCTTGGATGTTCGAATTTGATGATATCAGCAGTTCACATCACCTTCTAGCCAACAGTCAGGGTGTTTTGTGGTTTTAAGGGGCTTAAGCCATTTGAAGCTAGGTCGAATTGAGTATACCACTGATAAGCGTAATCTTAAAACAGGCCGACCGAAACAGCTGTCTACCTAGCGAGTACTCTGTTAGTTAAGTTAATGTGAGTAGTCAATGAATCCATAGTTTATAGTTGTTGTTTTTTTTTATGCATTTACGCTTGTTTTGTTGATTGACTACCAGTTTCGCTATCAAAGAGATCGTGGGCATTGTTGTCTCAATAATAATTACGGTATCTAAAACGAAACTGCAGTGATTAAATTGTATATACATGTTATTGTATGCTATACGGACAAATCGATGGTATAGCGATGGGGTCGCCAGCAGGGCTGACATTCTAGCAGACATTTTCCTTGCGAAACTAGAGAATGGGCCTTTGAAAGATTTGATTAATGAACTAGAATTCTTTAAAAGAATGGATACTGAGCAAAGAATACTCTTTTCGATAACTTTATCATCAGGCTCCACAGTTATATATCCATCCATAGTAGTGCTGTCTATCTGTCTGTTTTTTACATAGAACTTTTTCACCGATGTGTACCAGTTCAAGTCCCCACACTCCCTTCATGTAGCACACAAACCAAGAGAAGAAAGTAGAAGAAATGCATAATAGAGACAGTAAACAGAGGTGTGAGACAAAGGAATAGTAATAATAACGAAGAATAATATAGTTTCATTGGAAATCATAAGTCACAAGGAGTGGATGCATCTGCGCTAGGCGATTTTGAGCCATATCACCAATTGTTTCCAGCCATTGGTTTTTGCCGCTCTGAGGACCCCAACAAGGAAGTCTACACTTACCCACGTCGCTGGCTGGCTTAAACTAACTGTTGCGGATTTCATTGACTAACCAAGCCATGTTTTGGTTTGACCACAAGGTGCTAGCTCTTTTCTAGCCTTGACCCTACGTCAGCTAACATTGCCCACTGTCGAGGAAGGCGATGGCTAGGCATGCATGCGTAGCACATGTCCTAACCATTTCAGTCGATGTAATTCCACAGCCTCGTCGATTGATTTCCCCTTCCACCTACCTAGCACTCGACCCACGTCTAACCTCAATATTGCTCACCTTGTTGTACCACTTCACACGGAAGGTAGAACGCAGGCACCTATGATCTTAGACAGCTAATCGTTTCATGTCTTCCAATCTCAATGGCTAAATCTCACAGCCAGCCCGATAGAGGAGGACGTAGTGGACTACTGAGCAGTGTTATGAACAACATTAATGTTGCTGTTTAAATAACAACGAATCAATAATAATATTGATAGATTACAGCTCAATAGCATTAACATAAAATAACCTGGATGTCAGAAAAATTAGAAAAGATAACAATAATACAAATTCCTGAATTTATAATCTCTACTGAAGGTCAATCACGGCAGTAGTAGGGACTGGACATACTTCTTTTGAACACAGAGCACTGGTTATCTGAAGTAAATTGTAATAGCCTCTGCACACGAAGTCTTGCTGAGCATCATTCTTCTTCTACCCACATCACGTATATCCCACTTGGAACCCAAGGGAACAATATTATAATATATAATAAACAAAATATTTAGAACGAACAATTGTTTTCAATAAATTCTTCCCTCTTCAGGCTCCACAATTATAAATCCATTAATGTAAGCATACAATAGCCAGTAAAGACGAATTAGAATCATATCAGAAAGTGTATTGTGGAACAAGTATAAGATGGGATGAAACAATAGTCATATAGTCATATAGTTTTTTAATATGCATGGTCAATAACAACATAGGACAGAATGAGGTGAAATAATTTAATTTAATGATGTGTGTATATATATAAATATAGTTAACAGAAAATACAGGTTTCAAGAGTGAGTGTAATCAGGGTGTGTGAGGCAATATGAAGATAAACCAACGAATGGGGCGGTCTAGACTTAAGTTCAAGGTTGAAAATAACAACAATAAGAATGATTGTAAAATAATAACGATGATATGGTGTAAAATTACAAGCACTATCGGTGAATGATTGTCAAATAATAATAATGAATATAATGAAGTGGAATGAACAGGATTTTGTAAATACGATAGCAAGTTAGAAAAGCACTATTTAAACCTAAGGTAATAAAATCATAAGAAAGGTCATGAAATCATAAAAGTTGAAAATGAACGTTTGTCAATGAAACAGAGGAATAGAAGAAGGAAAAGAAAAGAAAATTGTGAAAGGAATTTAAAGTGCTAATGTGGAGGATTTGTTGGCTTTTTTGTAGGCCAAGGTAAACATAGAGGTTGAACATACTTCTTCTGTATGCAGAGAGATGGTCTTCTGGTATTGATTGCAACTGCTTCAGCTACTGATAGAAGACTTAGTCGAGCTCCTTTAGATAAATTACTAGGAACGCAGTAAATAACTGTGAACGTCTGGTCAAGTTTTATCGGATGTCCAGTATCTACCAAGTGGGCTAAGACTGCACTATTTACACCTTTGGTTACTCCTTTACTCAACCATACAGGTACATGTTCACGCGCGCGCATGGATAAAGCCCTCTGAGTACGGTTAATGTAACCAGTTCCACATGAGCAGTTGAATTCGTAGATACACATTGATGAGGCCATCTTTGGTAATTTATCCTTGACTTGCTGTGTGAGTACTGGTTTAGTTGAGAAGTTTAGTACCAATTTAGCTGCGGGAAATGTTCTATCTATTGCTCTATTGAGTCGACACTTTAGAATGTCAGCTGCGATTTCCCCTTTGTAACTTAACTTAAGATACAAAGGTTTTTTGTCTACGGTATCCACCTTTACCCTGTCTATAGGTATTGACATATACTTTTTAGGAAGCTCTGTGGATATCCATTTTCTTGCAGTGTGAGTTTTAGTTTATGCATTTCTTCCTTAATGCATTCCTCTGAGCATATTCGTTTTATTCTGTAGCTAAGACACTTAACTAAGTTTCTTTTATGCTGAATCGGTGTGAAACTATGGAAATGGGTGTACTGACCCGTCCAAGTTTTCTTTGTAGATATCCGTCTGTCTTCATGGTAAGTAGGACGTCTAGGAAAGGTAAACTGTTATTGTCTTCTTCTTCTTCACATGTAAACTGAATAGTTGGGTGAACACTATTAACGGTATTCACAAGCTTTTGTTTATTAAGATTTCTATTACAAACGATAAAGGTATCATCTACGTATCGACAATAATAGTCAAACCCTTTAATCGTGTCTTTGAGTGGACCATTTTCAAGCTTTGCCAGGAAAATATCCGCTAGCAAAGGGCTCAAAGGTGATTCCATGGCTACCCCATCAACTTGTCTATAAAAACCATTATTGAACATAAACTGAACATTCATAGTGCATTTCAATAATAATTCTTTGACTTTTTCCGGTGGGATTCCTACATCTATTTTCTTTTTTATCAGCTGGTCACATATGTAGTTGACTGTTTCAAGCAGTGGGACGTTGGTGAATGAATAATGAGGCTAAATCCAGTGACGCCATTTTCTTTCCCTTTACATCCAATATAATAAATAAATTCTATATAAATCTGTTGATGAAGTTCTTTCAGTCGTTAGTTAAATAAAACAAAGAAGTGCAATGTAAATACGCAAGATGAGTTGTATTCAAAACGACTGTATTATTTGCCTTAAAAAGAGATGAAGACCTATAATAATAATAATAATAATAATAATAATAATAAATGTAGCATGAGAAACGCCCATATGATCTCAACCAAATACCCATTAGTACTTTTGACCTTTGATAAAGAAATCTAAGTCAATAAATAGAAAGGGGGGGGAATTTTGATTTTTGTTTTTCTCTGTTTTTGTTTATTCCTTCTCTTTTTTTCGCGTAACACAATGAATAGAAAATGTTTTAAAGTGCATTTATTAACTTTTGCAAGCAAAAAGGAAACAAACAATCATAAAATGTTATACAGTTAGGAAAGTTCTATCAATCGCCATATAGATATGATAGAGAAGATTTGTAGCTCAGGGGGATGATTTCAATGTGGTTGTGTTCTCTGAACTAGCTGGATAGTTAATTTGCCAAGCTTTCATTGCCCCCACCCCCACCTCTACTAGGCGACATCTTCAGTGCATATTTCAATTCGAATTGAAGTGAGCTTTTAGATTTCTCCACGAGTTTATTAATCATCTGTCCTGACAGGTGACCTTGGACGTGAATGGTTGTTTTTGTGTGTTTTCACACCCTTTAGGCAGCTACTTGTATTGGAACTAATTGTTTCTTTGACTTGAATTTTGACCCTTTGTGTGTGGGGGTTTCTTTCTTATAGGTTGATAAATTTAGTCTATCTCGATGTGTCTATTGATTGATGATTCACTGGAATACAAGTCAACCTATCAAACCAAAGGCCCCCAAGGAAAGCATAAAGAAAATTGCCCTACCATATATAAACGACATCTCTAAAATCACTGCAAAACTCTTCAAACCTTTGAGAATTGACGTCTCACACAAACCAGCAAAATCACTTCAATCAGCTGGTTTTATGTCAACCAAAAGACTCAACAACGAAAGAAGATAAAACCAACATCATCAACAAAATAAATTGTAACAACTGATAAAAACACTACATTGGCCAAAGTGGACTACCTACCTTTTCGTCTTCGTATCCACGAACATAAGCTAGCCGTCAAAAGACATGATATCCACTCCATCACTAATATTACAACATACAGGCATGCACGGACATCAATTCGACTGGGACAACGTTCAAATATTAGACAAAGGAAACAACAAGAATGCTAGAGAATTTTTAGAAGCTTGGCATTCCAGTGAATCATCAATCAATAGAAACATCGAGATAGACAAAATTTATCAACCAATAAGAAAGAAACTTCACACACAAAGGGTCAAAGTTCAAGTCACAGAAACAATCAGTTCCAACACAAGTAACCTAGATGGTGTGAAAACACACAAAAACAACCATTCACGTCCAAGGTCACCTGTCAGGACAGATGATTAATAAACTCGTGGAGAAATCTAAAAGCTCACTTCAATTCGAATTGAAGTATGTGCTGAAGATGTCGCCTATCAAAGCGATGAAAGCTTGGCAAATTAACTATCTAGCTAGCTCAGAGAACACAACCACATCAATAATCCCCATATTATGTAAATATCAGTTTCCAGCCTATTCGTGATTATCTGAATGGATTGTGGCTACTATCATGCTCCCCCCTCCCAAGGTGAATTGAGAGCTTATCGAAGGCACCAGTTGATGGTAACGCTAATCGACCAGAAGTTTGGGATTCAAGAGTCACATTGACTACTGACTGAACTGGCTCACTAGTCAATGAGTTCGATCTGGTAACCCAACGGTTCTGATTTTGATCCCTAGCGAAGTCATAGGTGTTCTCCGGACCCCCTCCCTGAGCTGGAACGAAAGAGTTCGTCGATGTGCTTCCTGGTTTTTGGATGATACTCCAAACCGATGATGTTGCTTCGTGATGAAATCTTCATTGAGACTATCCATGATGCAGACTTACTTACTGACTGACTGATTGACTAGTTTCAATACAGAACTTTGCATAGAAGTGCTACAGTTCGACTTGCCTGCAGAGTTTAAACTAACTGTTATGAATTTCGTTGATTTACGATTAAGCCATGTTTTTACTTTGACCACCACCACTAGCTCTTTTTCAACCTGATCCATCGTATCTCACCTAACATTGCCTATTGTTGAGGAAGGAGATGGCTTCGTTTGCATGCGTAACACATATCCTAACCATCTCAATCGATGCAGTTGCTTCACAACCACATCGATTGATTTTTTCTGCTGACCTAGTACTCGACCGATACTTAACCTCATTATTTTACTTGCCCTATCCTACCATTGTGCGTCGGTGACACAGCGGTAGAATGCTCATCAACCACGCATCATCATGTGGTTCGGGGTTCGATCATCATCCACCGACGCACTCCTTTATCTCGCTAATCCAGTAATAAGACTGGTAAACAAGGAAGGTTAGGTATGGCACTTGCAACCCCATCCCGTAAAAATAAACACTACTGCTACCGAAACTTCAAGCCTCTAGCTTGAAGCCGCCCTACGTCCCAATGGGAACGTATAAGAATAAAAATGTCTTAACCATAATGGAGTTATACTCTACCACCACAGTGCCCAAGTTTTATTCTTATATCAATAGATATTATACCAATTAACACCGGGAGATAGAACGCAGACACATGATCAAAGACAACTAGCCGGCGTTTTTCATGCCTCCCCCTTGTTTCAATGACCAAGTGACTCGTCTCAGGACAAAGTTGCCTGAGGTCCTAGTAAGAAATCGTGACCAATGGTGTGTATCCACCCGACTGGGTGTGAGAACAGAAGACTTGCTTGTGACATTGACCAGTGGTGATGTGCTCATTTTCGGATTTGATAAGCCATTGGATTCTGTTCCAGTGGCTGTAAATGGTCAATGAGCTCGCCTTGTATACTTGAAGTCGCTGGATTCAATCCCTGGTAGTGTGTAGATGCGCGTATTGTTGAACATTTCAAAATACGAACGTAATATTCAAGTATTGATTTGTAGGGATTTGGGTGATTGATTACAGGATATCATCACGAGCTGACATTGGTCAGGGAACCATTGGAAAACTTCCAGGGAGTACTGAACACCTGTTTCATTCTGTGACTCTTCTCTAACCGATGTCAGCTCATGAGGAAATTCTGTAGCCAATCAACCAAATCCCTACAAAACCAATACTTGAATATCAATGAGATGCTCACTGGTGACTGGCCCTATTCAGGTAGGTAGCTACCTGGGGTTCTAGTGGGAATTCACGATCAGTAGGGTGCAGCAGGTCGTGTGTGAGGACAAATACTCCCTGAAGACATTGTCTAGCGGTTGCGCTATATCGTGAGTTGGCAGAAGTTAGAATTCATGGGCTTATCAATGAGTTGGGACCCAGCGGCTTGATGGTCTACGAGCTAGCTTGCCTTGTAACCAGAAGGTCCTGGGTTCGAAGCCTGGTGAATGCATACTGCTGAAGAGTCCCAAACTAGGACGGAGGAAACAGCTGTCCAGTACTCCTTGGGAGGTTTTCCAATGGTTCTCAAACCAATGTCAGCTCATGATAGAATCCTGTAAACAAACGTAATAGTTGTACAGTACTCATTTCTACGATCAAACTCTAAGCAAATCATATCCCTACAAACTAACACTTGAAATTGTTACAGTTTTACGTGACTGAATAAAAATAAACAATCAATTTTTATTTATTTATTTATTGATTCCTAATTCTAATTGAATTTCCTTATTGTGTGTGTGTGTGTTTTCTTCAACCTTTATGTCTGTTTTTTTCTCTCTGTCATTGTTAAGCTAATTGACAAAATTGGAATTACTCTATACGATTTAAATATTGATAACTTGGACGTTCATGCTGTAAGTTCACTGTGTTACTATTTATTGTCTCTCTGAATGTATGTGTGTATGTCTCTGTGTTCAACCTTATTGTTTTTCAACACATGGTAACAAATAAACAACTATTAAATGATTTCTTTCAAGTTTCACCACAGATTGATACCAATTCAAGAACGCTCGAAAGCCATTCGGTTGGGAGGGATGACAAATGACTTGCCACCTATCAAGTTATTGGCTATCGCCAGTCTCGGTTAAAAACACAAATTGGTAGATGGTGGAATTTCTGAGCTAGCTGTTGAGTCAGGTCCCAGTGGCTGAATGCTCTTAAAAAACTTGCCTTGTAACCTTGAAGGTCCTAGGTTCGAACCCTAGCTGTGTTTGGGTACATACTAACGATGACTCCCGAATACTAGGACGAAACAGTCGGCTGTCTAGTACTCCCTGGTTGATTTTCAATGGTTTTCAACTGAAAGACGAAAACTAAGGGCTCACACTGAACTAGATCTCTGTTAATATATATGGGTTGGACTAATTTCTTTTGAACACATAGCTCCTGCTTTTCTTTGCATATAGCGAAGGATTCTGGAGTAGTACAAAGAAGTCGGAAACACTGGTTGTCTTTGGTAGATTTTAGTTTGCCGAGTAAATGACTCTGAATGATGGATGAGTCAACTGAGATGCTGTGACGGGGTGTGTTGATGAGGTGTTTACTTATGGCGCTTCTGATTGAATTGGTGCCTCCCTCTTCTTTGTAGCCATTCTGGGTAATGTTCTCTAACAGGTTTTGAAAGGATGAGCATAGTATGACCTATGTACCTAGCTTTGCACAAGCATCTGAACTGTTATATGCCCTCAACCAAGAACGCTGGAGTGTCCATTTGAGAAAGTCTGTCCTTAACACTGTTTAGAAGCAGTGGGTGGCTAGAGAATTATTATTATTATTACCCTTAAATCGCCCTCGTCGGTGGCACAGCGGTTAGGACTCTCGTCGACCATGCACATGGTCCGAGGTTCGATCCCCTGCTGACGCACACCTTGATATCTATGGTCGGCCTGCGAAATTTGGGCTACCGATATCGATGCTGAAAATTCCATACTTGTACCAAAAATACAGTGTGGAATCAAGCTGTAATCAAAAAAAAAAATGAAATATGGCATTAGATAGAAATAATTGTATCTATGTGAAGTTATGCATGTAAATGCGATTGTACGGCTATTTTTGACAATGAAATCGCCGAAATGACGGTTATGTCTGCCGAACTGCTTGTCTTTTTTTTGTCTAGTGTCATGATGTTTATTTCCTACAATTTGAAAAAATTAACTATTTTTGAGAAAAAAGAAACCACAGTTCTTTATTAAGCTCCAGTTCATTGATGACGTAGCTAGTGGGTTTCTACACCAGAGATTGTATAGAGTCATTAGAAAGGCATATATATATATATATATATATATATATATATATATATATATATATATATATATATATACGAGTTTGACATCGGATTGATATCAGTGTGAGCGCTAAATCACGAATTGGTTAGAAGTTAGAATTCATGCTAGGGCTAGTTATTGAATCGGGTCCCAATAGCTGAATGGTATACAAGCCAGCTTGCCTTGTAACCGGAAGGTTCTGGATTCGAACCCTGGCGGTGGCTGCTAGCTGTTCAGTACTCCCTGGTCGGTTTTCAATGGTTCTCTAACTGACATGAATCCCTGATCAAACTCATAAAAACAAATTTAATTTTCAAAAGAATGGATACTGAACAAAGAGTACTCTTTTTGGTAACCTGCTCTTCATCATCAGGCTCTACAGTTATGTACATACATTATTAGTGAATGAATGAATGAATTAGTGTTATGAACAACATTAATGTTGCTTTTCAAATCACATCGAATCAATAATATTGGTAGATTACAGCTCAATAGCATCAACATAAGATAAGCTGAATGTCAGAAGAATTAGGAAGGATAATATTACAAATTCATGAATTTATAGTCTCTCCTGAAGGCCAGGACAATAGTAGGGGCTGGACTTGCTTCTTTTGGACGCAGAGTGCTAGTTGTCTGAGGCGAATCGCAATAGCCTCTGATGTTTGGAGCCTGCAGTGCTTCGATGTTTTTGGCAATTTATTAGGCACCCGGTAGATAATGATAGAGAAGGATTCATCTACGCTGGCTTTGTGGCCTGTTTTCACGGGATGTTCCAATATCGAGCTGTTAATAGTTTTCACTACACCTTTACTTAGCCATAGTGGGAGATGTTCTTGAAAGAGCACGAAAAATCAAGTTCCTAGAGCAGCGGCCATTATAACTGGCTCCACAAGCACAGTTGAATTGATAGATACAATTTGAAGTGGCTAGTCTAGGTACTTCATCTTTCAGTCGAGGAATCACCATCGGACGTGTAGAGAATAAGACGTGTAGTTTGCCAGCATTAAAAGTTCTTTGAACTGATTTTCTTAATTTCCTCGCAACTATCTCGCTTGGCATATCACCCATGAATTGTAGTCGTATATAAAGAGGCTTCTTTTTAACAGATAGTGAATACTCCTTTTCCGCCGCTTTCTTTGTCATATGTTTCTTGATAGATTTTTCGGGATAGCCATTTTCGATCAAAGTATCATATACACTGCTTAATTTATCTTCAATTACTTCTTCTGAGCATATAGCTCTAACTGTGTGGCTGAGGGTCTTCGCTAAATTTCTTTTGTACTTGATAGGAACGAAGCTGTTAAAATGTGTATATTGTCCTGTCCAAGTACTTTTTCTATGCAAATTTCTTTGTATGCCACAATCTGGTTTTCCTGTAAGTAGGACATCCAGGAAGGCAGGCAATTCTGTCTTGGGATTCCTCTTCGCATGTGAATTTCATAGCCGAATGTACTTCATTGAATTCAGTAATTATTGTACTCTTATCAGAACCATTGTCACAAAGGATGAAGGGGTATCATCCATATATCGGCAATAAAATGAGAGCTTACTGTGATAAGGTTGTTCAGAGGTCCATTTTCTAGCTTACTTAGAAAGAATGGGACCCATTGGGGAGCCCATCGCCATCCCGTCCACTTGTCTGTAAAGCTAGCCGTTAAATTTGAAATTTACATTCATGGTACATCTTAATATCAATTCTTCTAGAATCTCAGTATGTATGCCAATGTGTTATCGACAGCTTGTCCATTTGTTCACCGATGTAATTAACTGTTTCTATTAAAGGTACATTTGTGAATAATGATGTTATGTCCAGAGGTATATATATATATATATATATATATATAACCTCTCTGGTTTATTCATCAAATGTAATTATAACGGATGATGTATATATTATAAAAAGTGTCAGTTGGACTGCATATGTTTATATATAATTTGCTATGTAGTCATTCTATAGCCAGATAAAATGAGAGCAGTGCTCCATGTTTATACTTACGCGTGATGTTTACATTATCTAAGATAACCTTTTGTATGTTTAGAAAATCGTAAACATTATTATTATTATTATTGAATAAACATGAATGTATGATATGGGGAACGAACAGAACGAATCAAATATACAAACATGAATGTGTTCGTTCTGTTGTCAACATACTGTCACCCTCACCCTCCATATCCTCTTCACATGTTTTCGTTTTTTTGAAAAAATATTGTTTATTCTCAATATTATAGTCAAATTGTGATATGTATCCACATATATATATTTATGTGTGTGTGTGCATGTTGGTCTCTCTTTCTGTTTGCTCGGTTAGTCTGTGACCACTTCACTTGTATGAACTTGTCTCCTTTAATAATGTGTATTCTCCTTATATTATATTATATATAATATGAGTGTTTGTTGACAGTCCGTTGCTTGGTGACATATATCCATATATGGTGGTTGTTGACATGCCTGCTATATTCGCTATGTATAATTGGATCGACACTCCATTATAATTAGCCATTCATGTTAAGACTGTCTAATGATTTTTCCCACGTTTTGTCTGGAACATTTATATATATTCGCATTCACAATTTGTGTGAACTACTTGACTTGCTTACCACTTTGGTGTGAGACCATTTATTTTCGTCTCCTTGTGTTTGGACAATAGAAGTATCATCGCAAACCACCTAGTGGTCTTCTGATTTCCGCCTTCTCGCGTCAGGACTATTAGTTTCTCGACCATTCCATAACAATAATTTAGCGACGAGTACATAACAATTTGGCGACGGGGAAACTAGAACATAACAAATTGAAATTATTATTTTTCTCTTGTCTACAGACTGACAACTTTAAGTAATTAATTTAACGTTTAAAATATTAAGAATTTATTTCGTTTACTATTAAATATTGAGATTAGTTTGTTTGTTATCTTTTTTGTTCGATTCGTTCGATAGAACTGAGAGGGGGATGTGTATCTGAGAAATTTGTGAACATTCTGAAAGCTCTTTACAGAAACACCTCCTCAGGTGTAGAGGGAGGGCATACAACCACAACTATATCATCATCGCTGTACCCAACCAACAATGGGATTAGACAAGGTTGCCAGATCTTTCTCCATTTCTCGTTAACTTTGCCATCGATGACATTTTGGAGTCAGTTCTGAAAGGGGATGGGTGAAGGTGGTGTTGTAGTAGATCTACCCCCTGGAGAGGGAGACTTTTCAACCTCGAGTATGCATGCACACGATATCGTCATACTGTGTGATAGCATGTAGGCTGTACAAATTGCACTTAATCAGTTGGCGATTAGTATCTGTAAGTGTATGGTATGTGCTTTGCGCCGTCTAAGTGCAGAGTACTGTTATAAGATTGGCAGAAGCCTACAGCTGCACTCACTCTTGAGGGTGAACAACTTGAGTTTGTTGATAAGTTTGTGTATGAGTGCTGGCAGAGAGGTGACGGATGAGATTTCCAACCGTATAATGAAGGCTAGAGTGGCACTCATCAACTTAAGCTACCTCTGGCGCCGTTGTGACATTAACGTGACTGTCAAAGATCGGTTATACAATGCTTCGGCGCGTGTTGTCTCTCTCTGCACCCGTGAAACCTGGCCTCTCCGAGCTGCAGATGTGAGGTGACTCTGCGTATTTCATCATAGCTGTCTCCGTGGATGTAATTCTGAAGTCTTGAGACATGTTGCACGTAGTCACCTGACAAATGTTGCCATCTTGGAGCGTCAGCTTCGTTAGGTGACTGGCACAGCGGGTTAGTACTCTCACTGGCCATGAACGTGCTCTGGGGTTCGATCCCCTGCCGACGCATACCTTATATCAGTTGTCGGTCTGTAAAATTTGAACTACCGGTATCACAATTTTTTCTAGCTCTGTGATTGGGTTGAGAAAAAACGGAGGTTTGATGTGTCACTGTAGGATGAAGGATAGTTGTATTATATAAGCATTTGATGATATTAAGTAGTTGGAGGCAATCGGCAGGAAGCTTTGGACCTAGGTTTCATGCTGGTTAGCACCCATCAACAAGACGTATCTGTGACCCTTAAGGAACTCATGGCCCTTCTGAGATTCGAACCCGTGACACTCAGTGCCGGCTGCAGTCATAGACGTTACCACTGAGCTATTCGGGCTGGCTCGCGATTGACCTCCTGTAGGACTTAAGAGGGTATTCATTCATACATCACAACTCTTGGGCTGTAGGTTTCGAGAGACAGTTCGATTCACTGAGTCGAAAGGTTATCGGATACATTTATCATAAGTCTGTGACATATCTCTTGTTTTGAGCATATTGTCCTCTTTGTCTCCCATTCAAATAAATAAATAAATAAATAAATAGAACTGGACTAGCAGTTAAATTTTATCACCCAGACATATTTATGCTTTGATAACTCTATATATTTTGTGCTGGGGTGTTTTACTATTGGAAAATCGTGATATCCCCTCCCCCCCCCACCACCACCACCACCAATACCATTTTGGGTGTTGTCTGACTAGACTGCAACAGATGTTATCTCATGTCGTTTCGTCGTTCATATGGAGAACTCGTAATAAATTAAAAATTAATCAAAAAAGAGTATTTCTGAGTAGAATTATTATCGTTATTATTCATTACTAAAATCTTTTTCTATTGAAGAAGACATTCACTGATTGGTTTCGATAAACATGTCGACTTTGTCAGTTACCCTTGCAACCCTACTGTCGCGACAGCAATCAGATTCTACAGGCTGTCTGTTTGTCTGTCTGTCATGACTCGACTAGCTTAGTGTATTGTAGACTTGCTGGCATGTTACCAATAAATAAGTAACTTGTTAGAATGTTGTGATGTACGGGAATTGAATTGAAATAGAATTTGGAGATTATTTATTATCCTCCTCTGAATTGCTAGCTGACTGATGGTAATAATGTCTTCCATGTATATCTCTGATGCTTGCAGTGAGTCATTTCTGTTGCATGTATCGTTTTGGGTGTAGACTCGATGAACCAGGCAAGGATTCAGTAATCAGTGTCTCTTTCCTACTACCCTAGATTACTTTTTAGAATTTTAACCCTCTCCCACCCTATTGTGTGGTTGTGTGTTAGCGCATGCATTGCAATTGCTGAGCTTTTTTCCAAATTACTCATCTTCTCGGGGTCAAGCATTCTTACCTTAGCCTAATTCTTATGTTCCGCCAATCTGATTACACCTGGACTTACTAGTTTGACTTCTATAGTTGACTCAACTCACAGTTATTTTTAAGGTATTTTGTAAATTATATTATTTTATTTAATTGGGTCAACCGAGTCTTTTAGCCTACAGAATTTGTCTGTGAGTGAGTGAGTGAGTTTGTAGGTTTGAATGCCACCACCAGCCTAATTCCTGCTTTATTAGGAATCCTATGTAGGGAGGGTCTCAGATGTCCCCTCCTTATGTGGTATAACAGTAGATGACTTATATTCCCTCTTATTTATGTTATGTGCTTACTAGTTTCACAGTTATTTTTAATTTTCTTTCGGCCTTTTTTGATCTTTCCAATGAACTTTTTTAATCCATCAATCCCGTACAAAGCATAAAATTGGACAGTTGGTGTCTGGTATCAATTATATTTTGTCAAGAAAAACATTTTAAAAAATTGCTAAGCTAAAATAGCTTTACTACTGAAATATTTTTGTAAACAACAATTGTTTTTAGCTCTCTCTCTCTCTCTCTATCAGTGTTATTTGTCGTCTGCGTGTATTAACCCTCTTCTATCAGTTCACTGGATCACAGTTATTTCACAGATATAATATAGTAGTATAGTCGCGAAATATACTCATTCATCATTCATAAAAAAAAAACACAGTCGTCTTTTTTATTCAGCGAAGAAACGGATTTCTTTACAACGACTTCATTCTCAAGCCAACTGTACATCAGTGAGATTTATATTACGGCAAAAGGCATTATTTTTTAAAAAAGTATCAAGGGTGCTTATTATCACCAATGATATTCCTAATTGTGGTGGACTGACTGGATTATTCGTCAGACAGTAATGGGAAACGAGAACACAGGGATATCCTGGACCGACGTGAAGAACCTAGAAGACCTGAATTTCGTGCGTTGATGATTTATGTTCGATGTTACACGAAATCGAAGACTTACAAACGAAAACCAACTGACATACTGGTCAAAGAAGCAGCCGGCGAAGATAGGACTCTAAGTGAACATAGACAAGACGGAGGTTATGTAAATAACCAACCAACCAACAACAACAACCACAGCAGCAACATCAAGCGCCAATCACCATCAACGGGAGGGATTTGAAAGAGGCTACTTCATTCATCCACTTATCTAGCATTGAGCATTGTCTCAACTGCAGGATGTCAGAACGGACGAGGATGTCAAATCGAGCGAGAATCGGGAAAGCAGGCGAGAAACACACACATTCATCAACCTGTAACCAATCTGGAAATCTTCGTCACTCAGCCAGCCAGAATCAACAACAAAATTCAGTCGGATTTTCAATACAAACAACGTCAAGTCAGTCAGTTCTTATATACGGATGAGAAACTTGGCGGGCGGGCGGGTCACAAAGAATATTTCGAACAGCCTGTTGCAGACTTACCTTTATAAACCAACAACTGTGTTCGCTGGCTCTCTACTGAAGATCAGATGGCCGGGCCGGGCCGGAAAGAATCATCGACTAGAAACTATGGGAACAACGAAAGAAAGCAAGAACCAATCGCCAACCAACAAATATGCAGGAGAAAGTGGATGGAGATGGATTGGACACTCGCTGAGGAGGCCTCTGGGTGACATCGCTCGCGCATCAGGCTATTGCTCGAGTGGAACCAGGTCGAAAGGGAAGCGGCGAGTGGAACGTCAGTGCAAGGGTGACATGGAGGAGACCGTGTGAAGAGGGGAGGAGTGGAAACAGCACTATGGACTAACATGGATGGAGGTGAGAAGTACAGCAGGAGGAAGACAGAAGTGGCAAGTGGAGACGTGGAGTTGAAGCCCTATGTTCCACTAGGAACCCAAGGGAACAATAATAATTGATTATTGAATCTAATGTTCTGTTGATATAGCAGCATGGTGAGGGGAAATACAACATTTACAGTTATAACACAGCTAAAATGATATTCACACTTATGAAAAAATAAACAAATAAATACAAAAAATTGAGGATACTATAAATATGAGAAGTACAATAACAGCAAAGTTTGATGTTGTAAGGGTGGAGGTAACGGTTTATTTATTAGGTGCAAAGAAGGCTAGTTGGTTAGTTCATGCCTAACACTATTTGCATCACATAAAGTACATGCCTTGAATAATGGTATGGTGGACTTCTTATACTTACGTGCTCATAGTCTGACGAAATTCCTTTAGCAAATTTGTTGCACGACATCAAGTGCCTATCGGTGACAATGTCAACGATATGGCCCAGTGGGATAGGGATAGCTGCCTCTCGTCCTACTCACAGTCACTCTTCAGAGTTCTACGAAGTATGGCATAGTCTTTTTTAAGCAATCCAGGAAAGAATAAGCAGGGGTGAACAGTAAAGAGGAAGAATGGATAAGATGCACAAGTTGACAAACTGTAAGAGGAGGAGTGGTTGGGTTATGGGTTATGCCTGAATGCCTTAACTTCTTCTAAATGCAAAAAGTCAGATGAAATATTCTTTTTAACGTGGCATACTCTCTCTCTGTTTTATCACATCTAAGAAGTGTGTGAAATGTGAAATTCAACTGTTGTTTTTGATAGTGAAAAGCATCGATGAATGAGAACCATGAAATTTGTATCCAAGATGCCAATTCAATTGAACACTTTTGTCATCAGAAATAATGAAATAAAGATTTCACTGGTTTTTGGTTGTTTTTTTTTACTTTTTTTATTGTGTGTTATTGTATAGTATCTTTGTTGTGTAGTGTCTCTTTGATCATTATTCTCTCTCTCTCTCTCTCTCCCGATTACCATTTAGGATCGTAATACATTTCATCGATTCGATAAATTCAATGCCAAGTACAATCCAATTGGTCAGAGTCAACTACGTGAAGTATTCTTAAAATCGGATAATTACATAAAAGGTGTATTCTTTGCGCATGTTTTAAAGGTAGGTAGGTCGGGCATCTCTCTCCTTCTTTCTCCTTCTGTGTGTTTCTACTTGATTTACTTGATGCATTTTACACCTGATATCAATTCACAAAGTCATTGACTGTTGTGTGGTTTGAAACACAAAGAGGTAGGTATGTGTGCGTGTGTGCGTAGGCGGGGCGGGGTGATATAGACTTCCAGTCTGGGGTTCTTAAGATGTTTTTAGAATCAATGCCTTAGGGACGAAGTTCAACAATGGCGTCCTAGGGGTGTGAACGTTCCAATGACCTTGAACACGTGCTAGTCGTTGGCCGACAGCATCTGTCACTATCATCACAGTTGAAATATCAACGCTATTCGCCAGATTAAGAGCAAAATTTCACCCAGATCACGTTTTTAAGTACTGTTTAGACAATGTGTTAATAGCTCGTTAGGGTTAGAATTACGGTTTGAATAAGGGTTATGATTAGGGTTAGGATTAAAGTTAGATTTAGTGTTACGGTCGGGATTAATCTTATAGGGATAGATTTATTGTTGATGTCATTTATTGTAATTTTTTTATTATCCACGTTTTCCTGGTAAGTAGTCGTTTATCCTCTTGCTGGATACCGTAATAATTCAACCGCGGCCTTTTTCGGAAGACTGCAAGCAGGATGAGAGAGATAAACGATTCACAAAAACAGTTTGTCTGCAGTCATCTCGGTGAATACATGTACAGAAACTAGTCTAACTTCGCAACTGATGTACTCCTCATTACAACTAGGACGTATTTTTAAGCCATGTCAGAGAAAGATAACCTGTTTAGTAATGTGTTTTCAAGCATTTTCTTGTCAATATACATCATTTTTATGATTGGTCAGCTGAAGGTCACTTGTGCGTTCGCACTTTTGGGACGCTATTGTTGAACTTGACGCCTTAGGAGTGTTGTTGATGTGGCGAAAAGTTGTTGTCAGTGGCGCTAGTGCATTTACGTTTTGTAGTCTCTGAGATCTATTGAATCCGCGTGATTCTCGCATGCATTTTCATTCGTCATAATTCTTTTAAATTTCTTGTCTCAACTTTTTGTCTTCTGTATGGAGTGTGGTAAGTTGAGCAAAGTTAAACTATTACGATCAATACTGTTTCTTCACTGTGTGATATATCTAATAAACAAATTAATATGGAATTACTTACTACCCGAGTGCCCAATTTTTACACATATATTAATGTTCTGTTGTATAATAACAGAAGACAAGGACCAGAAAACAGATCGCTTATTAAGGAAATCAACGGATATGTATAGATTTTCATGTACATTATTATAGATTATTGTAAGCAAAACAAACAGTCTTCTGACTGGTTGTTTTTCGCTGAACGTTAATCTTTGATCTCTTTGTGGCTGTTTCTTGAAGTTCAGATTATGTATCTGCAAATTGTATCCGCCTACGCAAACAGAGTCTGCTGTGTTTGATTGTTGAATCAGTCTTTGTTCTTATTTTTTTTTCACGACCAATATTGGGGACGTAAACATTGACGTAATTCACTGTCTACCGATTTGGCTAGTAGCCAGCTCTCACCACACTATTACTGAACAAATACACCTACGTAGTGTTCTACTTTTTCTAGTCAGGTTAGATAGTGTTCACGATGGTATAATCCGTATATATTTTATAGTTTTATCAAAACCCCCCACAAAATTCAAAATTTGAAGAGTAAATGTGTGAGTGTGAAGAGTCCTAAACTAGGACGAAACACCTGTTGAGTACTCCCTGGTTTTTTTCCAATGGTTCTCTAACCGATGTCAGCTCATGGTGATATCCCCCAAACACTCAAACAAAAATCCCTACAAACCAATACTTGAAAATTGATGATACTCACTAGCGACTGGCCCTATTCAGTACGTAGTTACCTAGGGTTCTTTTGCGAAGCCGTGACCAGTAGGTTACAGGAGGTTGAAGATGAGGCAGTAACTCATCGAAGAAGACATTCCGAAATGGTTGCGCTGTGTTGTGAATTGGCAGAAGTTAGAATTCATGGGATAGTCATTGAATCGGGTCTCAGTGGCTTAATGGTCTACGAGCTTGCTAGCCTTGTAATCTGGACGTCCTGGGTTCGAATCCTTCTGGAGTGAGTGCCTACTGCTGTAGGGTCACAAAACTTGAACGAAACATCTGTCCAGTACTCACAGGTTTTCCAATGGTTCTCTAACCAATGTCAGCTCATGATGAAGTCCTGTAACCAATCAATCAAATCCCTATAAACCAATACTTGAATATCCCTGATATTTGTTTTTCGGCAAGTAAACGTCTCCTTACAATATACTACTGATAAACCTTATCAGTAGCATTCGCCACAGTGTTACTCCTCCCCCCGCCCCCTCTATTCCTTGTAAAATAACAATGATCACGATCATAATAATTTTATTTGATCGATAATGGTTCTTATTCTTTTTATTTCTTTTTTTTCAAAAATATACAGGAAGTTTTTTCAGATCTCTCTGAATCCAAATATCAAAATGCTGAACCACGTCTATCGATCTATGGTAGATCAATTAATGAATGGGATAATTTAGCTAAATGGGCTATCGACTGTAAAGTGTATTCAGATAATGTACGTTGGTTGATACAAGTCCCACGTCTGTTCGATGTTTATCATGCTAAAGGATCAATGAAATATTTTCAGGTAAGTGCAGTCAAATGCAAAAGAAGAAAGGCAAATAATAAGTGTTCTTCGATTTTTGTTGTATCGTTAAGCTCGGTGGCGTCAAATGACTGTAACAAGCTTTCAGTGTATGTGGGTCACTTCAATCTGCTTGTCTATAAAAGAAACGACTGGTTAATTTGTGACTGATATCAGACAGCTAGCCGGCCTTTTCATGTCTTCCACTCTCAATGGCCAGGTCTCACAGGTAGCCATAAAGGAGGACGAGGCGGACTACAGCTGAGCAGTACACATACCTTTTGGTCGACAGCCAGTCACATTTCACGTCTACTAAGTGAGAGACGGTGTAAACTGACATAAGCGAAACTAGCCCTCTGTATCCGTGCTGAGGTTTCTACAGTGATGAACCCACTGGCGTTGGCTGATGCAACTTCCCAAATAATAAGTGAAGTGGCTAGCTAGCACGCTGTACCAATTCACTCCATATTTCTAAACTAGAAGTCAGTGTAGTTCAGCCCTGTGACATCATCTTACATTTGGAGGGAGGAAGAGATATTGTAACGATATATAAGTTACAGGTGGTCGGTGGTTCAATGATCGAATGTTCGCTGATCTATGCACTCTTTAACCTTATTAAAGTGACTATTATTCCTAATTGTTATTCATTTGGTGCATCTTCATTTCATCCTGTTCACTGTAGTCCTCTTTAGATGGTTGCATGATTCACCATAAGCTCTTATCTCCTCACACTATATCCTCCATGTCATTCCTCATTCAGGTTTCACTCGATAGCCTGGCTGGTGCATGATATCATTCGACGCTCTTCCCAGCATATGTGTCTGATCCGTCTCCATTTACTCCTACATATTTGTTGACCAATAGGTTGGTGGTCTGTTGGTTCCTGGAGTTTGCTGTTGCTAATTTTTTTATTTTCTTTAATTTCCTACCCGACTAAGTTTTTCCAAATTACGTAACTTGTCATCTGAAACATGTTACTATTATTAATATTTCCTTTAATTCCCAGAGGAACATAAGGCTTCAGCCGCGCGTCTCCATTGCGTTTGGTTCTCTGCTAGAGTTTTCACCTTGCTCCAAGTCAACCCACATGCTTTCATCTCTTGTTCACATGACCTCCTCCAAGTCACCGTCACACTGACAACCACCTCGTTGCTTCCCTTTCGGGTTCCACTCGAGCGATGATGATCTGTCTAGTGATGTCACTTGATGGTTTGTTTTCTCAGAGTATGGCCAGCCAATCCACCTCCATTTCTTCCTGCATATTTTGTTGCACAATAGGTTCCTGGTTGGTTCGCCCATTGCCAGAGATCCCTTCTTGTCGCTGATGTTTTTTGGCCGGCCATCTGATCTTCAGCGAAGTATTGAGCGAAGACAGTTGTTGATGAAGGTCTGTAGTTTGTTTGAGGTGCTCTTCATGACACTCTGGCCAAGTCTGTGATCCGTATAGTAAGTAGCACTGATTTCACATTGGAATTGAAAATCCGGATTTTGCTTTTCATGCTGAGTGTTGACCTCCACACAGGCTTGAGAGTAATGAAAACTTGTCTTGCTTTCCCTGTCCTAGCTGCTTTGATATCCTCGTCAGTTCCGTCCGCCTGTAGTTGAAACGATGCTTCCCAGGTAGGTAGGTAGGTAAAGGAGGTTGTTTCTTTCAGGTTCCTCCCATTTATGCTGGCTGGCTGATTGTTGTCTGTTGTTGTTGCTGTTGGTGTTGGCCAGGAATCTTCATCACCTACTTCTGTTTTCTCTATGTTCCCCTGAAGTGAAGTCCTATCTTTGATGCCTTTTCCGCATAATCCAGTCCACCGCAATTAGGAATTTGAAGTGAATTCATGCCAGTCTGAAATCTGAAGCGAACGAAAGCTGTATAATTGTTTGCAGCACCATTTGGTAATAGTGAAGTAAGTAGTTGTCAAATCACCTCTCGGTCGACGCTGTGGAAAGCATTTTCAAAGTCGATGAAGTTGAGTGAGGTAGAGAGCTGACTGCCATTCTAAGCTGTGTTCAATAATGATCCGTAGTGTTGCAATTCGATCGACGCATGACTTATTCCTCCTGAATCCAGTCTGTTCCGGTCGAAGTTTTTCATCCAAGTCGGTGTGTTTTATTCTCTCCAGGATGACGCGGCTTAGTATTCTGATTGAGATAGCCAGGAGTATGATGTCGTGCCGTACGTCCGTGGCACAACGGTGGGATGCTCACCAACCACGTCTCATATCTCTCGGGGTTCGATCCCCAGCCATCGACGCACCCCTTTACCTCGCTAAGCTAGTAATAAGACTTGTAAAGAGGAAAGGTTGGGCATGAGGTTAGCAACCATATCCCGTAAAAATAACCATCACTGCTACCGAAACTCCAAACCTTTAGCTTGAAGCCACCTTTGTTCCACTTGGAACGTAAGGGATTAAAAAAACTAATGTCAGTTCATGATGAAATCCTGTAACCAATCAATTCCCTACAAACCAACACTTGAAAACTTTTATGTATTCAGACGTCTGTTATTGAATAGAGTTATAGAGCTCACCTTTTTCTTGTTAGGGTGAAACGCTACAACAAACTGCCAGTTTTTTTTTTTTTTTAAAAACTTATCAGAGCCAATTGTTTCACAACAACAATTTACATACATTTTATTAAAGTTTCAAAGTTTGTTTTGTTTGTTGTATATGTGTGTGTGTGTGTGTGAAATAGAAAACTCGAACTTACACTTTTTTGTTTGTAGTTTTATATTGATCTGATTTTGTTGTGTGTGTGTGTGTGTTTCTTTATCTGACGTAATGATCACCTCACTAGATGTGTTAAGTGTGTGTCCACATACACTTGTACTTGTATTCGGCTCCCCTTCAAAAAAACCTTTTGTTTACTTTACCATTCTGATTTAATAAAAACAATTTTGTTACTTGCGATATGAATAGTACTGAATTGTACACTTACCCCGAAACATCTGGGTTTAAACAATAACTATGTGATATTAAGATTATGGGTGTTTATAGGGATTTGAATGAATTTCAGTTGTAGGATTTCTGTCACAAACCAACAGAATCATTTAGAGAGATTATTGAAAGTCACCAGGGATTACTGGACAGCTGTTTCATCCAAGTTTTGGACTCCCCAGTAGTATACACTCATATCTTTACTAGGGATTAACGCCAGGGACCTTCAGGTCATTAGATCAAGCTCCTTGATGAGCTCTACTGAATATCTGTGAGGTGTGAGGTGTGGATGCTGCTTTGAAGGTATTGGTCGAGGATAATGAGAGCTGGTTGTGTAACCAAGAAGCCCTACTTTCGAACTACGGTGGGTGCATATTTTTCCGGAGTCTGAAAGTAGGACGAAACAGCTATCCAGCATTCCCTAGTCTTCTCACATGATTCTGCTACTGATGTCAGGTTGGGATCAAACTTGTGACCAATCAAATTCTTGCCAGCTAACACACTTTATTATAAAGTTAGAATTCACGGTTTACTGGATTCAGGTTCAAGTAATTGACTAATCGTACCCTCCATATCTTTGGTTCAATACACTTGGTAAGGTTGTTGGTGTATTTTGTTGAAGAAGAGTCCCAGTGTAAGGCGAAACAACTCTGTCCAGTATTCCCTGGTTTCTACTGATCTCTCTGTAGCTGATTTTGGTTTCCTGACGTCACTACACAAAGTATAGATAATCATCATTTTTGAGTTTCAATTTTATGCATTAGTTTTTATTTTCCCCCTTTCCAGGACATTATTACAAATGTTTTCCAACCATTATTTGAAGTCACTGCCAATCCTAAATCACATCCTGAGTTGCATGCATTTCTCCAGTATGTCACTGGTTTCGATTCTGTAGACGATGAATCCAAGTCGGATAAGATTGTCTTCAATATCTCTACGCCAACACCGGATGAGTATGATTTAAATGAGAATCCACCTTATTCTTATTATATTTTCTACATGTATGCTAATATAGCTCAGTTGAATCAATTTAGAAGGTGAGTGAGAATTTTGTTTACCTAGAAACCATTTTTTGAGTATAAGATTTAATAGTGTGAAATATTCCCATATTACAGGAATTAAATGTCAATCTGAACGAACGAAGAATATTCTTTTCCCCATAATTTCTCCTCTTCAGGTTCTTACAACTATAAATTATATTTGTTGTCGTTACGTTAATGGCCAGTTAGTTATGCTGTTGATACATTTTTTAACGTAGAATAACAGATTAGTAGTTATGGGGTGTCAAAATATAAATAGTCGTATTTGTGTGACAAACATCGTGTTAGGCTGAAATCGATTACAAGATATTGTAAAACGGGAGACAATGGTGGTGATTAGTCATAATAGATTTGTAGAGTGTGGGGTAGGCAAATTGACAAGTCAGTTCAATGTTATAAAAGGTGTCAGGTGAGTGGCTAGTACAAAGTGGTCTGTGTTAAACAGGAGATAGTAAGACTGCGATGAGAGGTGGTTCATATTGAAATAACGAATATGTGAAATGAAACAGGTGGAGGCATATATTGAGAAAAGAGATAATATAACTAATAATAAGTCCGGATAATACAAATGAAAATTCGATTGTATTGAGGGAATGTTTGCATGAAGGCCCTAAATTATAACGAATAATGATTATTTATTTTGACACCCCTTACCTAATCTGTTTGTCTACTTTAGAAATGTACTCTCCGCATAAATGGCCAGTATTGTAACGACAACAAATTTTATATTTTATAATTGTAAGAACCTGAAGAGGAGAAATTATGGTGAAAAGAATATTCTTCGTTCAGACTGACTGTTAATATTTGAGCATTCCTGGTTTTATAATTTGAAAAGTTCAGCATGTTTGCTAAGGAAGGTGGGTCAGTTGATGAAGTAGTGATGCTAAATCAATTATGAGATGGCTGGGACACGTTTGACGCATGCCTAGTCACTACCTTTTTCAACGGAGAATAATAATTTTTTCTCTCTTCTCTGTAACTTTGTCTTCTACATGTAGAGTTGGACAACTCGAGTTGCTGTACTTCTATGCAAGGTTTTAGGTTGACACACTAAGCCAGCCAATGGAAGGCACCTGTCAACGTCAAGAGTTCTTCAGCTTACAAAGGTAGTGATTTAAGTTGGACCATGGACTGAAATCCTTTTTGGATAGCCTGGAGGTTGAGGCTATAAACAGTTTGGTTGTGTCATAATTTGAGAAATCTTTTTTTCTTTCATTAGTACGAACCAATCACTTCATTGATAAGGATGAATCGCAGAACATTTAGACTTGGATATGAGAAATGACTTGGCCTAAATCTTATTATATCTTCATTCCACACAGTATTATTGTACAAGTATGGAATTTTTAGTAATGTGATATCGGTAGCCCAAATTTAGAAGACCGACCATTGATATCAGGTGTGTGTGTCGGCTTGGGATCGAACCCCGGACTATGTGCACGGTCGGCGAATGTCCTAACCACTGTGCCACCGATGCACGTTATAACTATGCAATGACTGACGTAAGCAAAAGTAGTCATGTGTTAATCACATTTCACTACTGACTTTTTTTTGGTTGCGTGAGTGGATTAATTAGTCTTCTGATACTTAATTAAAATGCTATATGTGTCATATATATATATATATATATATATATATATATATACTTACGTTTAGTCGGTCGACATAAATGTATTACACATGCCGATTGTTAAGCTGAATCCTACAGTCATACACATATGAGTATTCAGTTAGAGAACCATTGGAAATCAGGGGATACTAGACAGACAGTTGTTTCGTCCCATTTTGAGGCTCTTCAGCAGTACGCACCCACATGGTAGGGTTTGGACACAAGGTCTTCTGGTTACAAGACCAGTGAGCTCATAGACCATTAAGCCACTGCTACCCGATCCAGTGGCCTATGAATTCTAACTTTTGCTAATTATTGACATAGCGCAAACCACCTAGCCACGTCTTCGTTGAGTGAATGTCCTCCCAGGTTCTCTCCAGTGTTTCTGTAACTGATGTCAGCTCATGATGAAATCGTCCCTATATACTAATACTTTAAAGTAGGGATTTTTTGTTTGACGTTCTAGTGAACAAGAGCATGTGTGTAGAAGATGAGATGCGGCAAAGGATGTCCTTCGAATTGTTGTAGACGACCGGCTCCTTTGGACAACATCACTAATTATTGTAATGTCTTCGTCACATCGAAGTTTCACAGAACATAAATCTTTCTGTTTAAATGTTTATCGGTCATGGAGATTGAATATCCAATTCCTTACACAATCTTTTCTCCGTACAAATGCTATGGATTCTTCTGGCAAAAAGCCAATACGGTTTCTTATTCTGTTTTATTGAAACGAAACTGTAAACGTTTGTCAGCTGTGCATTTCGTTTTTGACTTGTTGACGTAAAGCATCATTTTCTGGTGTTCCGTGTTTGACGCTGGATTTAAGGCTCATCGAGCTTTGAAGTTTGACTAGCCGTCGGTTATTTTTACGGGGCGGGCGGCGGGCAGGGTTGCTAGCCTCATCCTCAACCTCCTTCCCTCTCTTTCTGAGCTTTCTAGTGGCTCACAGGGAATTAAACTATATTTATATACCTCTTTTATTCGTCCATAATATGCCGGTGGCTGAGTACCATTGTGGTGAGAGCTGACTGCTAGCCAAATTATCTTATCTTATCTTACACATCCATTACAGGGATTCGAACTCAGGACCTTCTGGTTACAAGGCGACCTAGCTTGTAGATCATTTAGCCACCGGAACCCGATCCAATGGGCCATGAATTCTCACTTCTGCTGTTCAGTACTCCTAGCTTCTCCAATGGTTCTGTAACTAATGTCAGCTCATGATGAAATCCGCAACCAATCAAATCCCTACAAACCAACACTTGAATGTGATTGAGATGCTCACTAGCGGCTTTCCTGATTCAAGTACGTAGTTACCTGGGGTTCTAGTGAGAAATCGTGACCAGTAGGAGGGTGCAGCAGGTCGGGTGTGAGGACAAATACTCGTCGAAGACATTGGCTAGCGGTTGCGCTATATCGTGAATTGGCAGAAGTTAGAATTCATGGGTTGGCCATCTAATCTGGTCCTAGTGGCTAAATGGTCTACGAGCTAGCTTGCCTTGTAACCAGAAGGTCCTGGGTTCAAACAATAGTGGTGGGTGCGTACTGATGAAGAGTCCCAAACTTGGATGAAACAACTGTTCAGTACTTCCAAGTTTTTCCCATGGTTCCCTAACTAACGTCAGCTCATGATGAAATCTTGTAACCATATAAATATGTGTTGATTTCCTAAATAAACGATCTGTTGCCTGGCCCTTGTCTTCTGTTGTTACACCATTATCTGAAGCACAGGTGCTACTTTTTTGTGACAATCAATAATTATTACACCCTAATTCTTTTTTTTTTTGCCTCCTCAAAATTTCTTCAGTCATCGTGGATTGAACACCTTCTCATTTAGACCACATTCTGGTGAGGCTGGAAATATTAATCACTTGGTTACATGCTTTCTATTGGCTGAAAGTATTAATCATGGTCTATTGTTACGTAAAGCTCCTGTCCTTCAATACCTCTATTATCTTGCTCAAGTAAGTTTTATCAAAACTGTTGTTTCAATATGTTATTTATCTTGCTGAGATTATATATATACATAGTAGTGTCACCCGTATTAATAATAATGCTGATTCTAAAGCGCTACAACAAGGTGTGACGTAAATGCTCGTGATAAAAATGAATTTTTATTTTATTTTATTATTTTTATTATTTTTGGTTACAGCTTGATTCCACACTGTATTTTTGGTACAAGTATGGAATTTTCAGCATGGATATCGGTAGCCCAAAATTCGCAGGCCTGCCATAGATATCAGGTGTGCGTCGGCAGAGGATCGAACCTCGGACCATGTGCATGGTCGGTGAGAGTCCTAACCACTGTGCCACCGACGCACTGTACTTAGACAGGTGTTTAGGTCGACATTTGAAAGTTATATGTAGGCAATATTATCTTTTTAGAATTTAAAGCAGACATTGTCGGCAACAGACCACTGAGAATTGATAAAAGTAGCAACACCACCGTCTAGCTTCTTCCTTGAACTGCTTCATTCTTGTCTGTACATATTGAAACCACTCAAGGAGATTAAATTGTCATCATATGAATCGTGGAGTGTTGTTTTATTACACCTATATTACGGTAAATATTTGGACATAATAGAGCATCCAAGTAATTAATCTTGTTCAGTAATGACCTACACTTTGTGCTCATAATCACAGGAACAGTTAGCTGAGATGATGCATTGGAGTACACTCTAAGGATCGTTGCCACTACCCACCATGATGCTTTTTCTTAAGGTTATTATAAACACGTGAATCCGCAGGTTGAAAACATTTTAAATAATCGCGAGAGTAAGTAATACGATTTGGACACATAAGTGAATAATTAAAACAAAATAAATCCAAGTAATCAGATGCAAGCTATAGAAGTGACGGAAAATTTTGGTAGCCCAGGGTTTAAGCAGGTTGCCGTATGTCGAACCGATGGCCTTCACTAGCCTACGTCATTCCATCTTCATCCATTTTATGTTTTTAATATTTTAATTTTGCGTTGAAGTTTCTGTAGCGGTTTGATTGGTTTTTGGGGGTTAGGGTCACTTTTTTCACGCCCAACCCTCCTTTTTTATTAATCGAGGTTTTCGAAGACTTGATTCGTTCGATAGTGAAAACATTTTGAATAGGCTTCAGACCCATTATTATTGTTCCCTTGCGTTTCTAGTGGAACGTAGGGCTTCAACTGCACGTCTATGCTTGCTTCTGTCTTCTGCCATACTTTTCACCTCCATCCACGTTAGTCCATACTGTTTCAACTCCTCTTCACACGGTCTCCTCCATGTCACCCTTGCACTGACGTCTCACTCGCCGCTTCCCTTTCGGCCTGGTTCCACTCGAATGATGGCCTGACGCGCGCGCGATGTCACCCAGCGACGGCCTCTTCAGCGAGTGTCCAATCCATCTCCACTTTCTCCTGCGATTCCTTCTTGTTTTGTTTGTTTGTTCCCATAGTTTCTTGTTGGTGATTTTTTCCGGCCCGGCCATCTGATCTTCAGTAGAGAGCCAGTGAAGACATTTGTTGGTTGATAAAGGTAGGTCTACAACAGGCTGTTGGCAATATTCTTTATGTTTCTGATCCGTATAGAAGAGCTGACTGGCTTGACGTTGTTTGTATTGAAAATCCGACTGAATTTTGTTGTTGATGCTGTGTTGAGTGACGAAGATTTCCAGATTGGTTTCAGGTTGATGAATGTGTGTGTTTCTCGCCTGCCTTCCCGATTCTCGCTCGATTTGACATCCTCGTCCGTTCGGCTGGCTGTAGTTTAGCCAATGCTCAATGCTAGATAAGTGAATGAAGTAACCTCTTTCAAATCCCTCCCGTCGACGGGGATTGACGCTGAATGTTGTTGTTAGTTGGTTGGTTATTTTCATAACCTCCGTCTTGTCTATGTTCACTGGAGTCCTGTCTTCGCCGGCTGCTTATTTTTTTGATTTTTGATTTACAGCTTGGTTCCACACTGTATTTTTGGTACAAGTATGGAATTTTCAGCATGGATATCGGTAGCCCAAATTTTGCAGGCCGACCATAGATATCAGATGTGCGCCGGCGTGGGCTCGAACCCCGGACCATGTGCATGGTCGGCGAGAGTCCTAACCACTGTGCCACCAACACACCGACGAGTTTGTCGGTCAGTTTTCGCTTGTAAGTCTTCGATTTTGTGTGACATCAAACATAAATCATCCACGCGCGAAATTCAGGTCTTCTAGGTTCTTCACGTCGGTCCAGGATATCCCAGTCTTCTCGTTTCCTACTGTTTGACGCATAATCCATTCCACCACAATTAGAAATATCATTGGTGATATATGTGCTAAATAAAATAGAGATTGTTACGGGACGCAATGGGGAGACATTCAAATGACATTATTTGCCTAGCCGATGGTGAACCCCGTGACGTGAGGTCGACAAGTTTGGTTTGTGTCCGTGGTTGACATTGAAGTAGATGATGACTGTGTGAGGAAGAAATAAAAGTCCATAGGCAATCGTGAAGTCAGCAAACAATAGGATGAAATAGAGATGAAGTGTTGTGTTTCACTCGGAAGTTAAGGGATTATTATATCAGTGATAAAAAAATAATATACATCGAACTGGTTCATTAAATGATGAATACTCATTTTATTGCCTCCTAGGGTATGAATTTTTAATCTCTCAACACGTGTTCTACCTATTAATCCTCCTGAGAATTTGATTCGAGTCATTATCATTATTATTATTGTTATTTTTTCCCGTACACTGTCAGTATGCTTCACTCGCCTCTCTCTCTCTCCCTCTCTCATTTTGCTATTCACAAAGGTCATTTATAATCGACCTTACTTTCAACCAATCAAATGTCAGCTATCTACCCAGGGCATTCTTAATTTCGATTGGTTGAATTATACAATGTGTTTATTGTTTCAAACGAAAAGAAGCAAGCCGCAATTTTTGAACTGAAATTGATCACAAAGCTGTTTTAATAAGTGAATAAAATAAATAAACAAACAAACAAACGAAAATGTTGTATGAGTGAGGGAGTAAGGAAAAGAAAATTAATGAAAAATAAGCAAACAATAACAAAACAACTCTCTTTCAGTTGAGAGCAAAGTTTTTAATTATGTGAGTAGATTCTTACTCAAAGCTAAGCTATCAAGAGATGAAAATGAGTCACATGACATTTATGTATGTATGTATGTATGTACGTACGTATATACTCCGATTATGTAAGCATCAGAGTAATTATGATTATTTTGAAAAAATTTCAAGTGTTGGTTTTGTAGGGATTTGGTTTGATTGTATGGAGGATTTAATCATGAGCTGACATTAGTTAGAGTACCACTGGAAAACCTGGGAGTACTGGACAGCTGTTTCGTCCTAGTTTGGGACTCCTCATCAGTACGCACCCACCGGGATTCGAACCCAGGACCTTCTGGTTACAAGGCGAGCTCGTAGACCATTGAGCCACTGGGACCCGATCCAATGGTCCTTGAATTCTAACTTTTGCCAATTCACGACATAGCGCGACCACTTCTCAATGTCTTCTTCGATGAGTTACTGCCTCATCTCCGACCTGCTGTACCCTACTGGTCACGGCTTGAAAAATTTTCAACTTAGTTTTAGTGGTAATATCTCTGAATTAAATATAACCAAGTTTCACGGGTTTTCATTCACTGGGATACTTTGATTGGACACTAGTAACTAGTATGTTAAATAGTTTTACAGAAACTTAAAGTCTCTAGCTTGAAGCCGTATGGTTCCACTGGGAACGTGAAGGAAAAAGATAAACAAAGAACTGGTGTGATGTGTCTAGTCCTTGGTGTTTGGTGCAGACTGAATTCTATCAGTCAGGTTTGTAATGTGGCCATCATTCTAAATAGCTCGCCATCACGGTGTAGACTGATTCGATGATATTAGATGGTTGGAGGCAATCGACTTGCATCAGTTCGTTATCATTGGATCCTTGTAAATTCACAATTTAAGAACAATGGAAATAAATAAATAATGGAGAATGAATAAATATCCGCACACAATTTCATCAAAAAATGTTTAAAATCAAATCGAAATCCCTATATATATATATATATATATATATATATATATCAGATAAAATTCTAAGACCTTAAGATGGTTGTAGGCAATCGGCAGGAAGCGTTGGACCTAGATTTCGTGCTAGCTGGCACTCACCAGTCAGCGAGGTGGCGTATCTGCAGTCTCACAGAAGGAATATGAGTTCCTTCAAGGTTGCAGATACGCTTTGCTGACTGGTGAGGGCCAACTAGCACGCAACCTAGGTCCAACGCTTCCTGCCGATTGCCTACAACCATCTTAAGGTCTTAGAATTTTATCTGATATATATATATATATATATATATATATATATATATAAATATAGGGATTTCGATTTGATTTTAAACATTTTTTGATGAAATTGTGTGCGGATATTTATTCATTCTCCATTATTTATTTATTTCCATTGTTCTTAAATTGTGAATTTACAAGGATCCAATGATAACGAACTGATGCAAGTTAATGCACTGGACAGTTGTATCGTTCTTATACTAGGACTCTTCAACACCACATACTCATGAACTGCTGATCTTATGTTCCCTAGTGATTGACTGAAGGATGAATTTGTCTCAAGTTGTGTGACCCATGAATGTCCATCATGTCGGGTGTGAGAGGATACATAGATGATAATGGCTAGTTTGTCACATTATGTAATATCGTGGATTGGCAGAAGTTAGCATTTATGAGTTATAGATATTCCGTCCCAGTAGCTGGAACAGTTACCGAGTTAAACTTGTTCGATCCTGTAATGTTTTATAATAATTGTGTACTGATGAGGAGTCCTGAACGAATTAGAACGAACCAACCAAGTTTCCAGTGTGGTTTTCCTTATTATTATTTCCTTTTATTCCTGGAGGAACATAGGGCTTCAGCCAAACGTCTCAATTGTGTTCGGCTCTCCGCCAATCTTTTCACCTGCCCAGATGCTTTCATCTCCTCTTCACATGA